GCTGCCCTTACTCGCCGACCGCAGACCCGCGCTTACGGTGGCCGGAGATCGTCCCTCGATCCCCGACGCCCGTAGTGTCGCCAGTTGCGGCTGCTGGGGCGTGAGGAGGAAGATTGCTCCCTCACGCGGGCCGCCTCTCTCTTTGCGAGCATGACCGCTTCACAAAATGAGGAGACAGCGTCCCAGTTCCTCTCACTAGACACACATGAGCTGGTGAAGGCTCGACTTCAAGGCTTCGAACACAGTTGCAAGATCTTCGGTATTTATTGCATGTACCCGGTATGTCGAGTGCATAGCAGATATTTAAATTAAGATCTGTGCTGTTTTATTTTATTTTTCGTTATCAGCCTATAAGTGCCCACTGCTGATCAAAGGCCTCTTCTCATACGAAGAAGGTTAGAGCATTAATCATCACGCTTGCTCAATGCGGGTTGGCGATTTCAAACTTATAATAAGAAATTATAAGTCCAGGTTTCCTCACGATGTTTACTGTTTACACATTGGTAGGTACTTGCCAGGTTTCGAACCCACACCCTCATGCATGAGAAGCCTTAACCTCCGGGCTACCACGACATTTTTTACAACCTCACTTACACGCCGAAACAAATCGTTGTTGTTGTTTCACGCCGGTTTTCTGTGAGGACGTGATTTTACTCCGGTCGAGCCGACTCATTCGTGCCGTAACTCTTCTAGTCAGATAATCCATATCGTTACCACAAAGTAAAAATAAAAGAAAGAAAGAAAGAAAAAGTTTATTGACACAAACCATGTGCACACAGATATAGTAACAAAAAGGTTATTTAATATAAAAGAAAAAATAAAGAAAACTACATAACTGTGTGCCTCACGGCTGCGTCAAACAGGCCCAGTTCAGCATAAATGCCAGACCACTTGGGCCTGACGCTGGTTTTCAGCTGGACCTTTGTGCATGACGTGCTACGGATGTAAACCAGCTTTATCGTAAACATTAAAAATGTAGGTAGATACTGTAGAGTGATCGGATTGATCACTCTACTCTCGGATCGAGTTGCGAGTGATTGTTAGTGGAGAAGAAGAAAGATAAAATTGTTAATGTTCAGTTTAAATTGTTTAATAATATCACGAACACACGATACAATGAACTATAACTGTTAAGAAATGTTAAAAATGTTATTGAATGCACACCCGGTCTCGGTGCATCCGTCAAATGCACTGAAATTAATAAGTAAAATTAATATTCAAGCGCACGCGACATGATGTGTAATCATAAAATGTGTTTGGTGTTAAATAGAACATCGAACAGATACATAATCAATAAAAAAAATAAAAGACAGACAATAGCTGAAATGGGGGTAGATATATAAATAAAATAAAATTTCTCTCCCTGAAGTCATTCTCGAATAATACCGTCCACAGGAAAAAAATAATATTAACATCTATTTGTTTTAATATTCACGATAGAATACAAAATACCTAAAATAAAAACCGATTTATTTCACTTTAGAAATTGCTCTGACGGTACATCAGCGATTTTGTAAATGCCAGCTTAGATGACTTTACTTAGGTACTGATACGAAAGAATGTGTATTCCTTTAGCGTATTTAATCCTTCAAGGGATAGTACATCTGCCTTGGTAGCCGATCAATTGCAACAATGTACTCCAGCTCCGGCCTTTTTAGTCAGTAAATATGGGAGAACCAAACTTCAGCACTATCTGATGGGTTGGCTCGACCGAACTAATATAAGGGCCTCACAGAAAACCGGCGTTAAACAACCGCCCCAGCCGCCGCAGCAGGTGACACTCCGGGAGTCGGGATTCGAGAGACGATCTCCGGCCACCGTAAGCGCGGGTCTACGGACGGCGAGTAAGGGTAGCTCGCCGCCCGACCCGAACCAGACTCGAGCGTTCCGCGCGCGCCTGAAAGAGCCAATAGACCACCACAGACGGGGCCCTATCGGGGTGATGTTCAGCCGGAATTGCGAGATAAGCGCAATAAGGCACCGCGACCTCGGCCCAGAGAAGAAGTAGGAACGAGGGGGGTTTAATAACTAAGAGTCTGACACTCCTTCCCGCCCGACCCTGAGCGGGAGAAGTGATTAGATGATTTTCCCCCTCACAAAAAAAAATCTTTGTGTTTCGCCGTGTGATTTATGGAGTTACGAGTGCGTTGCTGGTTTTTTTGGGAATTGTGGTTCGGAAAATTAAGGAATAGGGGAAAGGGGAATAAGAAAAAGGATAAGGCCTCTGCTAACCTCGCTCACACGGCGAAATACAACGTTGTGTTTTCTTCAAGCCGGTTTTCTGTGAGGCAATTATGCCAAAGCATGGTTCTCCCACACTTATATCATATTTTGTTATGTTATTGTAGTGTTTCGTAATACGTGTTATATGTTCCTATAGCCTACACTTACAGAGAAAGTTTTTTATTGAAAAAATAATAATTATCATAACATCGCACTGTTTATCCTTTAAAAGCATAAGCAGAACTATTGAAGATACTCGCAGGTAGGTACATAAACAGGGTGTCATTTTGACGAGGGACATATTGAAGGACCCGATTCTGGTGCACAAATAAAACATTTTCCAGAAGACCAATAAGGATTCTCAAAAAAAAAATTACATCTTCATGCAAAATCATGTTGTATGGGAAAAAACTAGATAGGTTAGGTACATAAACAACATTCGATTTTCAAAAACGGCACACTTATGCACACATGAATATATCGTATGTTACACGTTAAAGTGGGATGGCATGATTCAATTATCGCGAGTGAAAAAGAGACAAATATGAAAAAGTATGGCTAGTTAGCCACATTTTAATGTATCACTTGCTGAACGCTTGAAAGCTATATACACCTTTTTATTCGGAGATTGACCCCATGTGAAGTTCTTGTAATTAAGTACCGTACAAAAATCGGCTCCTTAAATATATCCTTCATTCAAAATGCCATGCCACCCAGCAGTTTATTTAAATTTAAACCCTTTTTTGAGGAGGGAAAATCACCAAATGAATTCTCCCAGGGTATGGCGAGAGGCAGTGTCAGGCTCTTATTGACTAAAAACCTCGGATTAACATATCTTAGGCTGCTTTTCATCAACATAAACGCGGGCGAAGCCGCGGGCGGAAGCTGGTGGAGAATATAATATCATTCGATACTACTGGCCCGGCTCGACCGGAGCGATACCACCATGGCCTCGTAGAAAAACAGCATAAAACAACATTTGCGTTGTTTTTAGCGTTCCTGGAGGGTTAAGGTCTGGCCCGGACGTTAAGACGCCAGCTTCTGACGCTTGAAGGTTCGAAACCTGACAAATACCAATGTGAATTATGATCATTTATACACCACTGACGGTGAAGGAAAATATCGTGAGGAAACCTGGTCTTATCATTTTTAATAATAACTAGCGGCCCGCCCCTGCTTCGCACGGGTCCAACTATCTCGCTATCAAAGGGTCACTTTTTCCTAATTTTCCCCTCTACATTTCTAATATTTTCTTTGATAAGAACCTTCTCCTGACAATAAGAAACATAACAAAAAAAGAATTAGCAAAATTGGTCCAGGCGTTGTTGAGTTATGCGCTTACCAACACATTTTGCGATCCATTTTTATATATAAGATTATACAATCGCCAATCCGCCTTGAACAAGTATAGTGATTAATGCTCAAACCTTATCCGTGTGCAAACAGGCCTTTGCTCAGTAGTGGGCACTTATAGGCCGATGATGCGATGTGGACGGTCAACACCAAAAAAGCTAATAATGTATTTGTATGTAACTCTTCTACCTCATTGCCCAATTTCATTGAAAAAGTAAAAAAAAGGTCTTTTGTCTAATTAAGTGTGGGAGAGCCATGCTTTGGCACAAATGGGTGCACGCACAAACGGCACGACCGGAGTGATACCACGGCCTCACAGAATACCGACATGAAACAACCACAGCGTTGTATTTCGTCGTGTGAGTGAGGTTGGAGGAGGCCCAATCCTTCCCCTCCCCCGATCCCTCCCGATCCCTAAATCTCCAAAACCTTAATCTCTAAAAGGTCGGCAACGCACTCGTAACTCCTCCGTTGCAGCGCTGATTACTTACCTTCAGAATCCGACTGCTCGTTTGCCGACCTATAAAAAAAAACAATTAGCGCTCGCATGCTGGTGATTCATTAAGCGACCACATTGCACATGTCTCATTCATTATTTTCAAAATAAGTCCTCAGCAATATTCAATAAACTATTCTAATATCGTTGCAGTAATAATAACATTACCACCATGTTACATTTTTTTACAATTAAAGGAATTGACATCCTTTGCTTCATAGTTTATTCGCTGATACGCGCCAACTGCGCACGGCGCGATGTCAGCCATTTTGAAAAAGTATTTTTTTATTATTTTTTTCTTTTCTTCGTGTTCAGCCAGTTACCATGAGCAATATAGAGGTTGGTATATATTTTGCTTTTTTTGGTTTTTCTGTTTTTTATTACTTAATATTTTTTCGTGTGAGTGATTTTGTGAAATGTTAATAATTAATATTTTTTTTATATGTATACGTATTTTTTGTAGTAGTAGTTTTTATGAGTTCGCGATTGGTTTAAAAAAGTTTTCCCTATTGCTAAATAGCATTTTCTGCAGTTCCAATATAAAATAATTATCCTTTCAATATAAACTTAACGACCAACCAATTAAAATCTAAATAATAATGTTAATACTTCATTAACAAGACCAAAAATACCACTAACGCCATCTACATAGTGCATTTATTTTAAATTAAATCTTCTAAATATCTTGTAGATATATTTTAATTATAAAGTACCTAAACGTTCTAATGGTGTGTTTTTTTATATGTAACTTATAAAGCAAGTGTTCCTGCTTCAGCATTTGATCCATTAGACGTCCACGAACCAGTTAATAGCCATCGTTTGCGCCAAAAGCTTATGTTTATCAAAACCAAATGGGTTTGCTTGGAGAGTCACAGACGGACCGATGAACAAAATCCGCACTGTATCATATAGCTCCAAGGTTACAAAAATGACCATAATGCCTACTGAACAGGCTTTCAAAGCCGCCACAGGTGGGGGTCACTGAAATGCAATTACTTCAACTTCTTTCCCACTGTTTGTAGTAATAGACCTTCGAATATAGGTTTTATTTCGTAGCATTCGAAATGGTCTTTTGGTCATCATTGTGGTTAATTAATTCACCGCAAACTAAGTATAGGTATATGTAGTTCTAGATTTTCTTGTGTATCTCTCCGTATTGTCTTCCAAAAACTACAACAGCGCCTCGTGTTATTATTCTGAACTAAAATGCTAAATATCTCCTGTTCCGTAGTTCAAGTTTTTTCCCCTTTTTATGTGTTGTCCGCACTTGGATTGTTGTCTCCTGTGTCGTGGTTGCGTTTACAACCATACAATTTCACATACACATCACACCTAGACCTGGAACAACAATTTGTAGATCACACAAAGAGTTGTTCCGTGCGGGAATCGAGCCATATCACGGGGTAAGGAATCTAGTTGCTCAGTTACCGAGTCAACCGTCCAGTCAAATATCTAGTTATAAATATGAACTCTGATTCAGAGGTCACAGGTAATAAATATTAATTGATTCTGGTGATGCTCAGAAGTATTTATTTTTATTTTATCCTTGTTGGGCGCGCAACTGTGGGTGTTTATATAAAATACTAGCTACTCTCACGCGGTTTCACCCGCTGCTCGGCTCCATTTGATCGTAGCGTGATGTTTTATGGTCTATAGGTAGCACTCAAGAACATCGTAGCTATCTATTAGTGGAAGAATTTTGGCATTCCGACCAGCGGTTCCAAAGATTACCCCCTACATACAACATACCTCTTTATAATATTAGTATAGATATACTTAGTCTAAAAAAACACGCTTTTAGCAAGCTGAAGTAAAAGAAATAAGTGCCCACTGCTGAGCAAAAGCTTCAAGTTTAAATCCTTGTACCTAGAAGTTTGTGAGAGAGCCATGTTTCGGCACAAATAAGCCGGCTCGACCGGAGCCATGCAGAATATCGACGTGAAATAACGTTTGAGTTGTGCTACCCCACTATCTTCAATCTTCAGAACCTTATAACTTTGGAGGTATGAGAGAACAGGGTGGAAAGTTCCTCATCCTCCATTGAAAAGGGAAGATCCTACGACCAGGCGAGGTGTTCATGCCTGGTGCGCGTAAACTTCACTTGCGCAATGCAGAACCTGTTACGCCATCTGTTGGATATTGTCGTCCGTCTATATGAGTCGTCACATTACTGCGTGTGTGCGATAGATGTCGCTACATATCCTTTACCTTGTATCCTTAAATACCTAACCACTCAAAAAGGCCGGCAACGCATTTGTAACTTCTTTGCCATGTTCATGGCATGTCTATTTGCTTACCTTCAGGTGATGACTAGTCCTACTAGTCTTTTCAATGCATCTGTCTGATTTTCGAACTGATTTCACACTGTGTACAATGCACATCTTCATAGAAAATCCGTCGTAAGCACTATAGAACCGATAACCTTGACTTAAATCAACAACACCTGTGTTCTATGTGAATAAATGTTTCTTTCTTTCTTAACTGTCGTCATTTTGTTCCAGTTCCTCAAATCTCCTCCCCAAAGTGGGAGTCCTATGTGTTCAATAATAAGGAGTACATCGTCCAAGTAATGGCCGTCAACTGGGAGAACGCCAAGATCCTCTGCCGGTAACTTTTTTCTAAGTTTCTTTCTCAAAAAACAAAGTTAAGAATGCAGTCAAAATTCATTCACAATTTTCTTGAAAAACCGCAAATATTAATATGTTTCAAAATTTTTACTAAGGTATTGAATTTATTACCGTTTTCATATTTTTTCCTATACCTTAGCCTTTTCCTGTAGCTTGAAACCTATCTTGATGCCAAATTTGAAGGTTCTATGTTTGCTAGAAGTACCTTAGATTTTTGATGATCGGTCAGTAAGTGAGTCAGTGAGTGACAAAATTGTGTAACTTTGATCGCTCATAACTCGTAAAGTATTCGTTCAAATGGAATGTAATTTTGAGGTTGAGGCTCAGCTTTTAATACTTACTCTTAGTCATGAAACCTAAACCCCTGGCTTTGTCCGTATCAATGATACAGGAAGGTGTAATAGTCGCCAAACGCTGCGAGAATAAGATGGTACGACCTTGTCCATTTTGCTAGAGACTTGGCTGGGGCACTGCCGTATCCCCAGATACCGACGAAGTAGAAAAAAGCGATGAAAACCGCAACAAATTTAGTTCAGCCAAGCGCGAGATGAGCGCAGACCAATATACATTCATACATACACATGTTTGTACTGCCCAAACTAAGATACGCCTTCTTTTTTTTAAGTTGTTAGTAAATGTGGGAGAGCCATGCTTCGGTACGAATTGGTCGGCTCGACCGGAGTGATACCACGGCCTCACAGAAAACCGGCGTGAAACAACCACCTTGTTGTGTTTCGCCGTGTGAGTGAGGTTACCGAAGGCCCAATCCTTCCCTTCCCCCAATCCCTCCTCAATCCTAAATCTCCAAATCCCTTATCCCTAAAAGATCGGCAACGCACTCGTAACTCCTACGTTGCGGGTGTCCTTGGGCGGGGCTGATTGCTTACCATCAGGTAATCCGACTGCTAGTTTGCCGAACTATTACATAAAAAAAAGTTGGTTGGTTAATGAAGCACTGAGGGTTATGAATGAGAACTGTTTCTTTTTCTCCCCTGCACATTTTTTTATTTATTACGTTACGGGATCCATGACAGATGTACATACATATATGATCCTGGGGCGAGCTGAACTTCAGTGTTTTAAAAGTAGTACCTATCTGCTGTAGATTTTTTATGTCATTGTTCGGCAAACAAGCCAACGGATTTCCTGATGGTAAGCAATTAGCGCTGCCAATGGACACACGTATCAACAGAGAGTTTCGCGTGGGTTGCTGGCCTTTTGGGATTAGGATATCCTGGATTACTTAATCATTGATTTGACATTGACTTTGATTTTCACAGGGGCTACCACAACGGCACCCTTGCCATATTAGACACCAGAGACAAGGCAGAGTTCTTAGCTGAAGCATTATCAGAGTCGCAATTCTGTAAGTAAAGAATATCATTCTTAATAGGCTTTTCTCATTGACTAGTGCCCGGTTTCCGAAAGCCCGATCAATGTTAAAATCACGGAATAGAAAATACAGGTTAAAATCAACTAACTAGGTGTCAAATCTCTTGTTCTGAGGTTGTTGATATTTCAGTCAACCAATCAGATGACTTGACAAGAGATTAAATAGATTTTAACATTGATCGGCCTTTCGGAAACCGGATGTAGCTCTTCCAGCTCTGGTCTTAATCATCGATACCTTTTTTTGGGAGGGGATAATAATCTAATAACTTTTCCCGCCCCGAGTGAAGAGTGTCAGACTCTTACTGAGACTGAGACGGACCATCCCGTTCCTTCTCCTGCTTCAGGCCATGGCTGCGGATTGATACCTGACTTTAGAATAAGCTTTAGTCACTTTTTTGACCTTCATTACGCTTTCTACGGGCATTCTATAACCTCCTTTCTTTTAAAATTATATGTTAGGGAAAATATTTAGTTTAAATTCCGCGACAAAAATCCAGGTTTGTTGCAGGATGCAAATCCACTCTTATGCAATCATGCATATGCACATGCAGCAAGGGCCATTTTCCCTAACATTTAATGACATGGATTTCCGCAAAGTAACGCCTGATTCTATAAATTACTCCTTTCTTTTAGTTGCTCTCCAATTCGGCATTTTCACCTTATAACCTTAAACATTCTTATTTTGCACAGATTTAACATAAAAACAAATCATAAAAGATACGACAGTAATATTGGGCATTCTAAACTACTATAGAGGTCAAAATTGCTTAAATCAATTACCTAAGTGAAAAACCAAAATGGTAAGTAGATGAAGAAAACCGAATTGAAGTATGTCCTTCTTTGTGTTGGGCAACGCGTCTTAACTAGAAGCTGTAAAGACTTGGAGCAACCATCATTGTTAAAAAAAATAACGACTTACTCACGTGAATAAACTGTGGAAGCTCTACTAGTTTCAAGTCACACCGGGGCCCTTATTCATGAGCGGCGTGCGCATCACAGCGATGTTACACAGCCAACTAGCTTGTTGAAAAAGAGTCCCGTTGTGATCCATTTCATCATCAGCCTATAAGTGCCCACTACTGAGCAAAGGCCTCTTCGCATACGGAGAAGGTTAGAGCATTAATCACCACGCTTGCTCAATGCGAGTTGGCGATTTCAAACTTACAATTAGAAATTATAAGTCCAGGTTATACATATAAATCGAAACATAGAAAGTACAAATAACTCTGAATGTGAATGTGACATTTTCCGAGTTATATACTCGGAAAATGTCACATGGGTACTTGCCAGGTTTCGAATAAAAAAACCGAAACCCTCATGCATGAGAAGCGGGCCACCACGGCCACCATGTGGTCCATTTGTGTGTCGTCAAAACAACTATTTTTCTTCAGCTTTAGCGTCAGTTTGGGTGGGTGCTCGCCGTGATTCAGCTGAAGATGCAGCTGGATATCGATGGGGCCCTGGCATGGAACTCAGAAGAACTGCTCTCGACGTTCTCGGCAGTGAACAGGATAATAATGCCGCCAGACACTATCCTATGGTAAGGAAAAATTACGGTTCTGCTTAAAAAGGTTTGAGTGTTACATTTTTGCGCTTCCTAGATGGCGCTAGTGTAGCTTATGGCCAAAAAGAAACAAAAGAAGATGAAGGAAAAATGATTTTTGTAAATTATTTTATATAGTCATTAACCATTCTTGTTTGATAGTTTCTAAATGGTTTTAAAATGTCAAAACTAAAGATTTTATGTATAATGGACATTTATTAACATTCCTGACGGTCATTGGTGATAAAGTACTATTCGTTGCGAGGTGCTAGGCAAAAACATATTTGTTGTCTCAATTAACTATCCTTAAAACATAGTTTTTGGTAAATTTTGGCCTATAGGCTATAAAACACCACGCTAGGATCAAACGGAGCTGAGCAGCGGTTGAAACCGCGCGAGAGTAGCTAGTAGATTATAAAGAGAGTAAGTTTGTATGTCGGGGTAATCTTTGGAATTAAAAGATAGTGTTTCGTCAAATTTCCGTGTTGTTTTTGTAACTGGGCTTCTCCCAGTTGTGCAGTCCCTTTGCGTTTTTAAGACTTAAATCATTCTGTCCCCTGCATTTACGAGTAATTCACCAAGGGTAATGGAAACTATTTCATTTATCTTCTCCTTAGATAATATATTTTCATTTGTTACGATATGGGATCCAAAACAATCATGTCCCTGAGACTTTCGGTGTTTTCATGGTTGTATTTACTGTAGATCCTAGATTACATGAGATGCAGCAACTTTAGGAAGAAGAGGCGAATCTTGTCCCTTTTAAAAAATCCTTGAAAGACGAGAAAAATGAGTGTTAATGATGATGTTCTTCCTCAGTGGCTGAACAGGACCCTCGTCCCTGTACCAGAGACGGGAGCTGACTGCGTGGCCTTGGAAAGAGTCAACCATGACCACCCCGTGTTCCTCGATCTGCCATGCCATTTAGAACGAGCTTTTGCATGCGAAAGAGGTAATTAGATTATAACTATTGTTTGTCTTTTTAAAACGTTGCCCCCACAGAACAGAAAATTATGTAGAAGTGCCGCCCCTACACTTTTTCAAAAGAAAAACCAGAAACGCCGAACTCACACATTCGCAAATCAAATTGTCCATTACACACATAAAAAACAGCTATATAATTGAGTAAAAAGTTAAAACACAACTTTAGCAAATTATCTTCTAAATGTTACTAAAAATTGTTCATCTAACTATATTGTTGACTAGCCCACGATGTCGGAGTGGCACTTCCACTGTATTTTCTACTCCGTGGTTTTAGATTTTTCTCCTGAATTACTAGAATTTTCTCCTGCGTCGTAGGTGCGTTTACAAACATACAATTTGTCATGTACATCACATCCAGACCCGGAACAACAATTTGTGGACTACACAAAGAGTGTCCCGCTCGCGATACGTTTCGCGGCGGCCAGTTACCCAACCGCCAGGTCAACCGTGTAGTCAAATAATCATAGATTTTTAGCTAATTTTAAAGGAATAAGCAAGTTGTTTGACGCAAAAATACTAAGACGTCATAATTTGGAGTTTAACACATATCCATACTATCCAAACAAATATTATAAATGCGAAAGTAAGTCTGTTTGTCTTTTCTTCACGCCCAAACTACTGAACCTATGTGCGTGAAATCTGGTACAGACATAGTTTGGAACTCGTGAAAGGGCATAGGATAGTTTTTTAACGAAAAATCTGCAGAAAGTCACTATTCCACGCGAACAAAGTCGCATGCAAAAGCTGATTTCGTATAACAAAGTATCGTTGTTGACATTTGGATAAATACCAAAGTAGGTTGTATTGAATTTGACTAGTTGGAAACTATCGTAATTCCCTGATTGTAATGTTGTTGTGCAGAGGCCCATGAGATTAAACAAGTGACGGAGGTAAACAATGTCCGCTGTAGAAGTGGTCTCTACAGGCTGTTCGATGGGAAGATGGACTGGCACCAGTCTGCTGCTTACTGCGTTCTACGGGGGATGGCGTAAGATATTATCAATACTAATACTAGCTGACCTTGCAAACTTCGTTTTGCCTCAAATATAATATAACTATTTGTTTTGGACTTTTAAACCTTCCATGGACTTCGATGAATAATTCAAGATCAAAATTAACCAAATTGGTAAAGACATTGTTGAGTTATACATGACGTAATAAAGAAAAGTGGCATTGATTTTTATTTATATAGATTGTTAGCTACTGTCGCGCGGTTTCACCCGCTGCTCGGCTCCATTTAATCGTAGCGTGATGTTTTATAGCCTATAGCACTCAGGAACATTGTAGCTATCTATCAGTGAAATAATTTTGGCAATCCGAGTCGCGGTTCGAAAGATAATCCCCTACATAACTATCGAACCAGTACTTAATTCCGAAGATTAGCGACGACTGAACGAACGGAAAAAGGCACAGGCTTACTAGGTTTTGAACCCCCGCCCTAGTATTAGAGAAGCAGGTGCCTTAACCTCCAGGCCATCACGACGATTTCTTTTTCACGTCACACCCAGACCCGGAACAACTTGTGGATCACACAAAAAGCTTTATCATACGGCATATCATAGCCATCATATTAATATACCTACCATAAGCCTACCTCATTTTTTACAGATTAGCCAACATCGCAAGTTTAAGATGCTTACGGAAATTGGGAATGACAATGTTGAAAAATCGACCGAGTAAGTCTCAAGATATTATGTTTTGAATACAATAAAACCTCTCAGTTCTACTCTTCTAACTATATCATCCAAGTATACTCGTCATCATCATCATCCGCCTATAAGTTGCCCACTGCTGAGCAAATGCCTCTTCTCATGCGGAAAAGGTTAGGGCATTAATCACCACGCTTGCTCAATGCGGGTTGGCGATTTCAAACTTACAATAAGAAATTATAAGTCCAGGTTTCCACACGATGTTTACCTTCACCGTTTGTCAGTGGTGTCTAAATAATCATAGAAAGTACATATAACTCGGAAAAAGTCACATTGGTACTTGCCAAGTTTCGAATCAAAAAATCGAAACCCTTTGCATGAGAAGCGGGCTCCGTAACCTCCGGGCCACCACGACATTAGTATTTTAGTCCTAAAAATAAAATATAATAGTATTCTCTTCAAACGAGTACCTATCTTCGGTAAGAAATAAATGTGCCAGACCCGAGCGTACTTTTTCCTCTTATACAATATTGTTTACCAGAATTCAAATAACCACTCACACGCACTCTATTTGACCTCAATCTTCAGTTTGAACTTCACATTTTTTCGGACATAATCCAAAATGAAATTTATTATAATTCATAAAATTGAACAAAAAAATTACACGTTCGGTATCTGACATCCGTTTGGGCCTGACGGACTCAAAATTTTAATTTGATTAAAATTAAAATTAAATTATTGATTTGATAATTGCGGGCGAATATGATAGCTCGCAGGTTTGCACGTTGTTCGATAGATGTCAAAATTAAACTTTTTAGGTCCTATTGTACTTCATTTTATACGTGCAGCCTGTGGGCCGACTATACCCAAAAATCTTACAGTGCCCTCCGAGTCCAATTTAATAATGCATTCAGAGTGCTGATGGGACTGCGACGATTCGAATTTTGAAGTGTGGGAGAGCCATGCTTCGGCACGAATGGGTCGGCTCGACCGGAGTGATACCACGGCCTCACAGAAAACCGGCGTGAAATAACCACTGCGTTGTGTTTCGCCGTGTGAGTGAGGTTACCAGAGGCCCAATCCTTCCCCTTCCCCAATCCCTCCTCAATCCCTAAATCTCCAAATCCCTAATCCCTAAAAGGTCGGCAACGCACTCGTAACTCCTCCGTTGCGAGTGTCCATGGGCGGCGCTGATTGCTTACCATCAGGTAATCCGTCTGCTCGTTTGCCGACCTATTACATAATAAAAAAAAAAAAAAAAAAAAGATTCTGTAGTGCATCAGGGATGTTTGCGGAACATCGGGTAGACTGCTTTTATACTACTATGCGTAAAAGATGCGCATCCCTGGTGCGAAGAGTGCGGCCAGCGCCAACAGCATTCTTGGCATGATTGCCAGTCGACTGGACTGTAGTTACATCAACCATTGCTCCGCCATTTGTCATGGGGTGGTGCAGTAATGGTTGTGTTATTTTTATTTACTTACTAGTTTCTGTGGTGGGTAGGTTTAAGCATTACTAATATTAGTCTGTAAGAACATTGTAACTAACAAATTGGACAACTAAGTCTGAAATATAGTATATTCTATTCTATTCTATTCAAAACGCCGCCTGGAGGCAGAAAAGTATCAGAGACCCCCAATGTTACCCACAGCAGGTTGCCACTGCGTGAATCATGCAGTTAGACAAGAAAATGGTATTATTTGTCTCAGGTATCGAGAACGCCTGGGTGGGAGCCAAGGGGAACCTCGGTCGATGGTCTTGGATAGATACGGGAGTCAGCCTATTCCAGATGCCAGAGTTTACAGACGCTACGCCAGGTACCTGGCCACCTATGAGGTACGATGTTTTTTTAAGGAAAATGAGCCGACGAGTAGTCTGGTAGCAAGCAATTTAATTTATTTGTTGGTAGGTATTTAACAAATCTATAAGTTTTTCTATTTTGTTGTTTATATCAAGTCCATGGTTTTACGTTGTGCTACGGTTTTTATTTGTTTTAACTATAATTAATATGTCGAAATCAATGAGAACACAACTTATGGTAGGTAATAAATATTACTACTAAATGCCATTAATAATTTAATATAGGAATAGGACCAAATCGGGCCTAATATGCTACCTTGTGGCACGCCACTCTTGATATTTTCATATTCTAATGTTGATGGTGTAAAAATCCACTTTTTAAATGTTTGTAACTATTATAAGTAAAAATAGCTAAATGGATTTAGATGAAAATCGGCAGGAATATCTGAAAATGCCGAAAAGCTCCTTTATTTAAAAAAAAAGTTGCCCTCACTAGGATTTTCTCACATACACATCACCCCCAGACCCGGAACAGCAATTTTTGGATCACACAGAGTTGTTCCGTGCGAGAATCGAACCCGCGAGACGTTGCACGGCAGTCAGTTGCCCAGCCACCGCACCAACCGTGCAGTTGATTTCATCCGGGTTACACTGAGTTACACAGGCGAAGCCCCTGACAGAACTTATACCGGAGGTAATACCTATAAGATATTAATTTAAGCCATTTTTTTCGTTTAGGGACAGAAACAACATCAAACAAAGCGGTTGCCTTCAACTGGATAGACACGAGTCTCATTCCCCTGTCTTCCTGGAGTCGCGCTGTGAAAGGAAGATGCAATTCATATGTTATGAAGGTAAGCAGAGTCTTCTAAGTAGGTACTTGGCTTCTTGGCTTAGCCAAAAATAAATTAGTTCGACTATTAAGCAATGCAAAATAAAAAAACACAGATTTGGATCATTGATTTAACGTTATACCGTACTACTTAAAATTTGTATTTTCCTTATAAATTACGACTGGAGTAATACCACAGCTTTACAGTTAACTGTCGTTAAAACCACAGCTTTGTGTTTCGTCGTGTAAGTGAGTCACCGGAGGCCCAAAACTTTCCATTTTCCATTCGTCCCCAAACCCCTTTACCCCAAATGGCCTCTTCTGATGATGCGAGTGTCCGTGGACAGAGCTGATTGCTTACCATGAGATAAACCGTTTGCTCTTTTATATCCTACTAGCTACTCTCGCGCGGTTTCAACCGCTGCTCGGCTCCATTTAATCGAAGCAGAATGTTATTATAGCCTATAGCACTCAGGAACATTGGAGGAGAACTCAGGAGAATTTTGGCAATCCGACCAGCGGTTCCAAAGGTTACCCACTACATACAAACTTACAAATTTTACCTCTTTATAATATTAGTATAGATCACATAAAAATTGGTAATTATTTTCTTTATTTATCATATAAACATATAAATTATATTTTTAAACATTTCTTAAAAATAAATATAAAAAACATTTAAAAATATAAAAAATAGTGTCCCACCGGTATCGGGAACAGGGTCCAAGCTACCGGCGGTCAGGGCTCCAGAGAAAGAAACCTCCTAACAATACGAGCCGTGTCCAGGAGTACCACTTTCTGGATCAAGCCTTTGATCCAGCCACCTAACGAGAGCCTCTTAAGGTGTTGGTCGAGGCTCTTAGCTATTAAGCCATTGGCTGACACGACTATCGGTACAATGACTGCCGAATCCACATCCCACATGTCGACAACCTCGCGTGCCAAGTCAATATACTTGATTAGTTTATCTTTCTCAGCTTTCACGAGGTTCTCGTCATGTGGGACGGCTATGTCAACAATCATTGCACGCCTCTCGTTTCGGTCCACCACCACAATATCAGGCTTATTGGCCACAATAGTCCTATCAGTGATGATAGACAGGTCCCAGTACAAGGTGATATGACCATTTTCAAGAACTGGGTCGGGCTCATACCTGTAGTACGGCACTTCCGATCCCACAAGAGAGTACTTCAGAGCAAGCTGCTGATGGATGATCCTAGCTACAAGGTTGTGCCTATGCAAGTACTCGCCGTTAGCTAGACGAGAACAACCAGAGATTATGTGACGAATTGATTCTCCCGGACGGTGACATGCCCGACAGATGTCAGCCGTGCCGTCCTTCACAATAAATCTCCGGTAGTTATTCGTCATGATAACTTCGTCCATAATTGCACAGACAAACCCTTCGGTTTCCCCAAAGAGGTCTCCGGAACGCAGCCAGGATACGGACGCCAACTGGTCTACATCCGGCCCATGTAGAGCTCGGAAAAAGCGTCCGTGAAGCTCCTTGCTCTGCCATACTTCCCTGCGAGCGTTGGTGTCAAGTACGACCGGTTTACGCCAGTTCTCGCTAGCCAGGGAGAGCGGAGTGAGCCCTTTGTCCACTGCCACTACATCTCGATGCATACCCACGTCGGCAGCAAGGAAATATTCCCTGAGACTACATACCTCGCGGTTGTGTACAGTCTTGGCATTTAAAAAGCCTCGACCCCCATACTTCCGCGGGATATACAGTCTCATCACCGACGATCGCGGGTGATGCATTCGGTATGCAGTCAGCATTGTTCGGACCCGCCTATCCAGGGTGTCAAGTTCGGTTTGAGACCATTTGAGTACGCCGAAAGAGTACATCAATACCGGCATGACCCAATCGTTGAAAGCTCGCACCTTGTTTCCGCCTGAAAGAAAGCTATTAAATACCTTCTTCAGGCGACCAAAGAAACGCTCCCTCAGTGATTGCTTCATGTCAGTGACATTGATGCCTAAAGCTTCCGACATACCCAAATACTTATAGGTTTCGGTTGGAGAGAGGGGCCTCAGGTTTATGGAATCCGTGAGTTGAGTGCCCACAGACTCCACAATCTCCCCTCGTTTGACATGCATGACCGCACATTTGTCCACACCAAACTCCATCCTGATGGCGCTACTGAAGGTTTCAGTAAGCTTGAGTAGCTCCATCAGTTGCAGCCTGTTGGGGGCAAAAAGCTTCAAATCATCCATGTAAAGGAGGTGAGATATAACCTGACCACCTCTCTTCAACCGGTAGCCTAGACCTGAATTCTCCAGCAATGTGCTAAGAGGATTCAAGGCTAGGCAGAACCAAAGCGGACTCAAACTATCACCCTGGAATATACCCCGCTCGATCCTTACAGTTTCGCTATTCGTTTGGATATGTCGACATCCCGGATAGCGAAGGACCGTACTCCATTGCCTCATACAGGACATCAGGAAGGTGCGTAGTTTTGTATCAATTTTATACAATTCCAGCACCCTCATGAGCCATGTATGAGGGACAGAGTCATAGGCCTTCTTATAATCTATCCAACATGTCGACAGATCCTTTCGGGAACGTCGAACCTGTTGGCTAATGGTCATATCAATGAGGAGTAGCTCCTTAGTACCGCGGGACCCGCTCTTACATCCATTCTGAGCAGTTGACATAATGTTATTTTTGTCAATATGGCTATTTATTTTACTTCTCAGTATGGATGTAAGAACTTTATAGACCGTCGGCAGACACGTGATCGGTCTATAATTTTTAGGTTCCGTAGTACTTCCTGATTTATGGAGCAGGTGGGTAACTCCTGTTGTTAGAAACTGGGGCAGCGACCCTGACTCTAGGGCAGCCTGGAATTGAGATGCTAAACGTGCGTGCGATCTTGTAAACCACTTAATCCAGAAATTGTGCAGTCCATCCGGTCCTGGAGATTTCCAGTTAGGCAATGGACGGACTGCACGAGCAACATCTTGGGGGCTGATGTTAATTGCCCCCATTTGTGGTATTGGATCACACGCGCGTTTGACCTCCCGAATCCAGTCACCCTCAGTGTGACTGACAGGCACCGACCAGATGCTGCGCCAGAATGAACACATGGCGTCATCATCCGGGAGGCGCGTGTCAGTCACACCTTGGTCCGGTCGCTCCCAAGCTCTATACACCCACCTTTCATTACTCCGGAATGTGCGATTCTGGGTGTATCGTTGAACCCGTCTCTTGTACCTTCGAATACGGTTTGCCCATGCATACACCTTCTACTTCAGGAAGTCGATGCGCTCTGTGACCCTGGACATATAATCTTGGGGGCTAATGTCTGTCCCCGAGAATGCCCGTAATTATTATTATTATAAAGGCTCATTCTGCCGTCATTGCCATCACGAAAACGGGCACACTAACTAGAATATTTTTTTCCCAATTTAATTTACATATATGTATATATAAACACAATGTAAGTGGTGTTTCACACCGGTTTTCAGTGAGGCCGTGGTATCACGCCAGGCGAGCCGACCCATTCACACGGAAGCGTGTCTCTCCCACACTTTATCTGTGTGTTATCAGTCACTACATATCCATTACAATGTCTGAATGTCGGTTGGGTCATTTCAGATGACCTATAAATAGGGGGGCGTGGCAGTATTTAGCTTTAAGCACTATTTTTTTGGGTAAGTTCGGTAAACTAACAGATGGATTACCTGATGGTACGAGTACCAAAGGAGTTACGAGTGCGTTGCCGACCTTTTAAGGGTAAGGTTTGTGGATATTTAAGGATTGGGAAGGGATGGGTAGAGGGGGGTTTTGGGCCTCTGCTGGTGAACCCGTCTCTTGTACCTTCGAATACGGTTTGCCCATGCATACACCTTCTACTTCAGGAAGTCGATGCGCTCTGTGACCCTGGACATATAATCTTGGGGGCTAATGTCTGTCCCCGAGAATGCCCGTAATTACACGGCCCACTCACACGGCGAAACACAACGCTGTGGTTATTGCACGCTGGTTTTCTGTGAGGCCGTAATATCAGTCCAGTCGCGCCGACCAGCATGGCTCTCCCACACTTAACTCTTACTACCTAACTTAATATCTTCTGTACGATGGTTTTAATAGCTCATAACCTCAATACAGTCTTAAACAAAGAAAGAATGTTTTGAAACTAAGACTTGACGAAAACATTCAATCACTACACGCCACGATTTTAAACGGTGTAGAATTGAGCGTTATTCACTACGCTTGCTCAATACAATTGGATTTCTTTATGTATTCTTGTGTTTTTACGTTTATCTTAATGTCAGTGGTATTAAAATAATTTTTGAAGGTACATTTAAGTTTAAAAAAGTCACTTTAATTCGAAGTCAAAGTCAAAGTCAAAGCATCTTTATTGTGGGCATATGTGAGTTACAGGTCTTAACATTAAATTAAAGTATCAATATGTCCTGCCTTATAGGCATACAATAATTATGTGGGTACTTATAATAGCATAGTTATAATTATATTGACATAAAAACTGGTGAAACTACATAATTATACAAAAAATACTTTATGTCAAAATACAGTGGAACTAATAAACGGTCAAAAATTCAAGAAATATTGGATCGTGTAGTACGCTTTATCAATTAAAAATGTTCGTAGTTTATTGTGTCATTCGTGTCAGAATTTAGGATTAGCCCCATCATGCATGTGAAGCGATTTTCAACGACATCTTTGTTTACCTCTCTGTGAGGCGAGAGGGAGTTTAGAGTCTTAGCGACAAACCGCCTTCTCGTTCCTTCTCCTGCTCTAGGCCCTGTGTCTTATTGCACTTACCCCGCAACCCCAGATCAAAGTCAAAGTCAAAAAGTCAAAATCATTTATTCCAACTAAACCATAAATGGGTACTTTTGAAACGTCAAAATAGAGAAGTAGTCTGTCAGTCTGTTCGTCAGTGAAGCTAGGTGCTCATTCCAAATTGTAGATTCGAATGGAGAAGAACGAGCAAGAAACTCCATTCGTTACTCTTTAAAAAAAAAACTTTGAAAAGATCTTTGTTTACCACTACGATTCTATTCTATTAAAACAACGATACCCATATTTATGGCCATTTTTTTTCAGGCACAGGTTCTCAAACAATAACGCCAGCGACACCTAGCGACGACATGTATTACTATGTGTTGGTAAGGCAATTATTATACTGGCAACACGCAAACCAGAATTGCGTAAAACTGAACGGAACCCTCGCGTATTTTGATAACAACGACGCTCTGATACAACTGCTGCTTGTTATGGGGGAGAATAAAGAAGAACGTAAGTATATTAATCTTATCTTACTACTTACTTCTTACTTCTCACTTTTCGCTTCTCGCTTCTCGCTTCTCACTTCCTACTTCTCACTTCTTACTTCTTCTTAATTCTTAATTCTTACTTCTTACATGATGTTTGGATGTTTGTTACTCAATCACGCCAAAACAGCTGGACGGATCTGGATGATATTTGGCACAGTCATAGGATACACTCCGGAATAGGACATAGGCTACTTTTTATCAACATACCACGCAGGCGAAGCCACGGACGTCGCCTAGTAAATGATAGTTTAGTATATTGTTTTTTATATATAAAACGTTGCCCCGCACTATGATTTTCTCCTGTATCGGGAATGCGTTTCAAAACATACAAATTCACATACACAAGCCTTCCAGACCAACAACTATTTTTGAATAGTAACTATCGTGAGACATACTTTTTTTTATGAGGGAAAATCATCAAATGACTTCTCCCACCCACGGCCGGGCGTGAGGGAGTGTCAGACTCTTACTGACTAAAACCCCCCTGTTCCTTCTCCTGCTCTGGGCCGAGGTCGCGGTGCCTCATTGCCCTTACCCCGCAACCCCGGCTATCGTGAGACATACTCAATGTATTGAAAATAACGACTTACTCACGTGAATCAACTGAGAAAAGCTCAACTAGTTTCAAGTCACAGCGGAACTCTTATTCATAAGCAACGTGCTAACTCATAATAAGTCGTTAATTTTCAATAAAATACCCAAAACGTCAATTTGTTGATGTGTTACGTACCGGAATTGACACGTTGCACACAGCCGGTAACCCAGCCACTGCGCAAACAGTGCAGTCGTAGCTACTTTGCGTAGCTAGCACCCGATAGCAGAAATTAGCAGGTTCTGCTAACGGCTGCGATCGCAGCACCAGGATGTTAATAATAAAATAGCATATGAGTTATTCCAGACTATACCTATATAGGTATCCGTATTTCTATCTCTTTGCCAAGTACCTTATATTCAGATCCGTTCAGTAGTTTTTTTCATAGAAAATAACATTTACCTATCACAAACACATCACACCTACAAACATTTGCGTTTAAATAACATTAACATTATAATCTAGCAAATCATTCGTATTTTTTGTCCTAGCGTACTTTTTATGGCCCATATGACTATCATCGATCAATAATTACTACCAAACATAAAATCTTTGTTTTAGCGCTTTGAAAGTTCAAAGAAACTAAAATATTCTTCAGTTTTGTAATATAATAATTGTTAACATTTCTTAATTTCGTATATTACTCTAGCGGAATGCAACCCAAATAGTTTTTGTCTATGGGCGCCACCATACAAGGTGGGCCCTTGTATGGTGGCGCCACTTACCTACAATAGCGGATAGCGGCTTACGCTCGTCTAGTAACGAATACATGTTGCACGAATTTCTTACAGCAATCGAACACATCTGGATCGCTGGGCGTCTGAATATGACGAAAGATATATTAACTGACACCGTCCGTTACTCCTGGTACAATCCCAACAATGGGAAAAGAATCCCAGACCCCAAGGCAGCAGACAGCTTCCACCCAGGAACATATGTAAGGCATTCACGAATTTCATTTTTAAATTTAAAATAAAATTAATATGTCAAATGATAAAAAGTCGACATGTAAACCAACCTTTATTGTCACACGTATAGTTAATCTTTTCATCACTAGATGTCACTAAACAAAACAGTTATTCTATCCATCATTAGATGTCACTGTCTCGAATAGTTTAGCTACTCACCACTAGATGTAACTATTTTCGGGATTACGTTCTTGCTACCTAAATGGCGCTGAACGCAAAATAATCAAATGCTCCAGTAGCAATTACAAGATGGCGGTTTTTCACCAGATCTTATTTTTACCTATAGATGCCGCCGTGGTTGGATGAAGAATACACAATGGACAACTCGTGCCTAAACTTGGACCGACAAGATCACCTCATTGGCCTTGTTTATGGATTGCCATGCGATACAGCGCAGTATTCTATTTGTATGATAGGTAAATATTGACAAAAACCTAGATACATTCAAAATCATAATCCTCTTTGCTTGGCTTTAATAAAATAAACATGTACCCCCTTCAAAAATTACCTCCTCCACCTTATTTACAGAATAGAAGGTGGCTTCATTGATTTAAATAAATTTGGAATATAAGACAGTTTAATTCGAAAGCACCCTCAATCGCACCAGTCATCACGAATTGTTTAATATTAGGTACTTCTAATATCTAGTCAACTTTAACACCAACGAAAAAGAAGCGTAGGTAATGAATGAAGCAAGAACTTAAAAAATGTTCCAAAAATACAATCAATTTGCAATATTGAACTGAAATGCTTTATACTTAACTAAAGTTTCGTCTTCTTCGTTCATGACAAATTAATTTATTTTTATTTCTCCAGAAAAAACACCAAAAAGGGCGGTAGTTATACCAGCACCGGCCGTGCTGCCGCCGCCCACGACCTCCGCTGTCCCGCAGCCACCGGTCACTGCTATCACTGAAGGATACGAGTCGCCATGAGAATGAAGAGCTTCTTAGAACATTTCTACTTAGATAGATAATTAAATAAAAACTTTTTATAACGCCCTTGTTTACTTTTATTTACCTGGTTAACTTTGAAGTCAAAAGTCAAAACTTAAATCATTAAATTCAAATTGACCACAAAATAAAAAATAGGTTTATCAAAAGGTTTAACTTCATGCGTGTCAGTCTGCCCGTCTGTCCTCAATTGAAGCTATTTGCTCGAAGACAAAGAGATCACAGAAAGCGATATGACCGCTAATAGTAAACTTTTTTTGTGAAATCTAAGTAGATTTAGATACAATAAAGATAGACAGGTATAAACACATTTATTTTGTGCGGGAATAAATTTAAAAAAATACGCCGTTTATATATTATTTTATTTTCCAAAAACTTCACATACATCACCCGCATAGTATGTATAAATTAGTAACTCAATTCCCTAAGAGATGGCGCTGTACCTACTTGTGCTACGGTAAAACGAAGTGATGAATAAACACGAAAGGGGAGAATAGATGTTGGCGAATTTTCCTAGTATCTATTCACCCCTCTTCCGTTTTTATTCACCAGTCAAATTCTATGATCACCTCGTTTTACCGTAGCACAAGTACAGCGCCATCTCTCTCACCCCTCTCTCCATCTCATTCACCCCTCAAATTCTATTCACCGTTTTACGGTACTTACCCTGAATTACGGTTTTAAGATTTACAATAACTCTTAGGGGGGGATACTTATTGTGACAGACTGGAAACTAAGGAACCTTGCACTCGGCAAACCGACGCACGGCAGGCAGACTCTCTAGACTCTGATAGTTAGCAACGTGGTTAGCAATCAGCGCCGCCCATGGACCCCGCAACGACGGAGCTAAGTGTGCGTTGCCGAAGTTTTGAGGATTAGGGATTTGAAGATTTTGGGATTGGGGGAGGGGAATAACTTAGATCTCTGGTAACCTCACACAGTGATACACAATGCTGTGGTTGTTTCAAACTGGTTTTCTGGTAACCACTTGAGGCTGTGGTATCACTCCAGTCAAGGCGACCCATTCTTGCCAAAGCTCTCTTACACTCAAATTACAAATAACAAGAAAAAAAAAACAATTAGAAAACATATGAACTTAAATTTATTTTATTTTATTCCTAAATAACTTAATACATTATTTATTATATACTATTTCAATAATTTCATTATTGACTTTCTTCAGTTGTGTGCAGTTATCATTCATAGTCAATAAGTTTTTTTTTAATACCCTCAAGTGTTCCAAGTAGGCTCTAAGACTGCTGTTCATAGCCCTAATTGAGTCTATTTCTTGACTTAGCTCTACATTTTGTTTCTGAAAAAGAAAAAAAAAAGTACATGATGTAGCTAAGTAAATAATGTTATGATGGCCTGAAGATGAAGGTTTTAGGGTTTCTTTTTGTTTGTAATGTTAATTAACAGTCTTCACGTACTCAGGATCCGTGCCCTTGTCATACAATGTCCGATAAACATTAGGACAATATTGTACATATGATGGCACAGCTCAAGTGATATTAATAAATTAATTCAAGCAGAGCTTACAAAACATCAAAAAGTTAATTGGTTTTACAAAATACTTAGGTACAAATTCTTACTATAATACATTATCAGGTTACAAAAAAAGTCATGAGTATAAATGTGGATGGATGGAGAGGGAGACCAAAGAAAATATGGATGGATTGTGTGAGAATTGATACGGAAGACAGAGGAGTTAGCGATAGTGTGACGAGTGAAAGGACAGAATGGAAGAAAAAAACATATTGCGCCGACCCCAAATAAAACGGGACAAGGGCAGGAAGATGATGATGATTAAAGACACACATTTCACTCTGCAGGTTTTCCACCACAAAGAATAGATAAGGTAGAAGGTATAAGAGTTAGCAAACAGTAAAGGAAAACATCAGGAAACAACCTAGAATTAAAATTACTAATTATAATTTTAAAGCCCAATCCAGTTCGAGCCAACATTGTAACTTATGCTCTTTCTTTATCTGTGTTAGAACAGGCCTTTTCTAAGCAGTGTTATATTTACAGGCTGATGATGATCATGACAAAATGGGAGCAACTTTACAAGTCAATTCAAATCAATTCAACAAGTTTGCTAACTTATTAGGGCATTACTTTTGTGAAGAAAGTTTGATGTATTAAAACTAAACAAGACCACTTTAAGTAATTGGGTTGTGAGGCACATGTTTATTTACTAATCTTAGTCCCTCCGTGTATAAAACTGGCATACAGAAGCTGGTAAAGAATTTGTCATCCTCAAAAGTAACTAATTAGTGAATAAATAGAAGAAGAGTTATTTTCTATTTAATTAAAGTCTTTAAAATAGATTGAATAAATAAAACAAACAAAATAGAAGTTTAAACTGCTGTATCGTAGTCATAGGTTGGTTCAAAAAACCGAAACAGACAATGACGTATTTATACATCATTGGAAACAGATACTTTCATTAAAAACAATAAGTTTCTAGTAAGGTCAAAAAGTTTTAAATTTTATAAGACAAGTTACCTCACGTTTTGACGAAGTGACTGAAGCACTAGACATTGTGATAGCAAAATTAATTAACTTTATTGGTTAATATTTAATCGTATGGCACATAACTTTGATACCAAAATAATTAGAAAACGAATTCAATTTAAAACAACGAAGAAGACGTTTTGTTGTTTTGCCAATTTTGGCGGTTGATGAAGTCGACTACAGTGTTGCTATCGTCGAAATTGAAGTCCACCTTAATGTATGAAAATGAAAAAGATCAATAAAAAATAAAATGTTTACAGTTTTAAAGTTTATTTTATTTGACTATGAAGCTAAAAAGCGAAATAAAAATAATTCAAACCAGGTGGTTTCACCTGGTTTTGTGTTTCACAATTGTTATCAAGTTACATTACAGTCACTGACCTCTATAATAACGCTGGACTGGCTATTGGTATCAACTTTTTGTGCCTATTTGAAAATCGCCATTTTGGCGCTGACGGCAGAAGTGAGGGGGAATGGAACTAATACTAGTGTTGACAACAAATGGTTTGATATCGATAAAAACTTTACTGATATCGACAACAATTACAAAAATATTACCGACGATATTTTTGATATTAAATTGGTTTAGGAAAATTTTATTTAAACATCTAAGTGTAATAATAGACAACACTAATGTAACACGTACAGTCAGGTGTCAAAAATGCAATTACACTCTACCAATTTTAAAATGACTAAAATTTCTATGTAGTAAAAGTTCAATGGTTCACAGCCAGTTTTTTTATAGCATAGAATCTAAATTATTGAATAAACTGGCTGTACATAGGACATATAGGTATATAAGATATATTTTTTTAATATGATTTGTAACATAAAATACAATCAGACTTAAATAACTATCACACAACACCAACTAGTCCCAAGTTAAGCAGAGCTTGTGTTATAGATATCAGACAGCTGAGTGGGAATCGAACCCATGATCTGCGGCATAGCAGACTGAGCCACTTACTACGAGACTAACAAACTTGTCTGAAATAGTAGTATCTACTAGTTTCTGGGCTGTAATCCGTAGGTATCACGTGTCCGGTTGACCCGTTCTTTCATTTCATTGTTCTTCTTGATTGGATAAAAGTTCATTGTTGGATCAATAAATAATAAAACTAGATAATTCATAAAATGTATTACCTATACACTCGATGGAAAGGGATTAACTTGTTACTAGTTAGATATCCCATGTCGCCATGAAGTTCAAGACACAATAATTACTATTAGATCTGTAATTACGGTAATTAACTTCTAACAGCTTAACTACTGCAAGGGACAGGGAAATTAAAAAAGCATTTTGAAATCACATATTTTATTATTTTAAAAATTATCATCGAGCCCATTTTACTTTCTCTTCAGTTACTAATAAAGAGTATTTATTTGTTTCTGCGTACAAACGGGTGTCAATATATGTGGTTATTATTTCTTTTAAAAGAACATGATTCAGATCAGGAAACCGTTCATTGCCTTTCATATCGATCGAATTATAAAGCCAGCAGTGCCAATGCATTGTTTTGAAGTCTCATTAATATTAGAATCAGGTATTGAAACTTTCGACTGAGAAACCTGGATTGGCCTTAACACATCCAGTGCCCCCGACGCGTATGTGCGTTTCCTCGTTTCCAAACTTATTACGCACATATGCATATGCCTTTGGCGAATAAAAATGTACAGAAATGGCAAATGATCTTAATTCTGGAGCATACTTAGAACATTTTACATTTTTCTTTTAAAAAGTTTGTGGTTTGAAATCATCGTACTAATTTAACATATAAACACAATCGTCACATCCCCGTTTCTTTTGTTTTAAATCAGCAATTACAGATTTTAAAGTAGACACAGTAATTTTCATACGTTTCACATTTTGTGACAATACTTTAATTCGAGCTTGTGACATTTTCAAGGCTCTTTTGACTCTTTCCAATTTATTTTTTAAAGATTTTGGTGTGTTTTCGTAGCTGTGATCCAATTTGACACTAGAAATGATTTCCGCTAAAGTTCTAGATTCTGTTGGGGTGCTACAGTAGCTTGTAACTTGTGCTTGGAACTGTAACAAGAAATTATATTTCATTATTTATATTATTCAAAGAAAGATAACAATTAGATAGTAAAAATATGTTTCAAAATATTGGGAAAGGTATGTCATCATCATCATTTGAACCGAAAGATGTCCACTGTTGGACATAGGCATAGAAATCCTTAAGTGTACATAATTTTCTGTTCCCTCTTAAAAATTGTTTAGTATTTACCCACTGTTAGTTGCAAACTTAGTACTTCAGCAAGCCATGTTCAGTATTTATAAAATTTTCTAAAATAACTTACCTGCAAGGGCTTCACATGGCAACATTTATTTTTGATGGACTTCATCATTTAGTAACCCATCTTGTACAGGTACTGAAGGTGAATTAAATTCATCCAAGCTCATTTCAATATATTTCTCGCATTGGTATTCTGTTGGTTGA